AGCACTTGGGTGTGAGAGGAAGAAGATATGAGTGTATTTGGGCACTGGTGTCTCTTTGCCTTTTCAACTACATAGAACTTAAAGATGTTTTAGATGCTTAACTAATTCTTCTTTAAAAAAAGAAAGAGGGGAGAGAAAACAGAAGGGAAGAGAAAGATGGTCATAAACTTACCTTCTATATAAGTAGCTAGGTAATAGAGGATCCAAGCTCACCAGGCTGCAGGGATCATCATATCCAAGTGAAATATTGGGAATTCCCATCCCACATTCTGTGAAACGTTTCTCCCTAGCCCTCCATACTGTTTTCTCGGGACTTGGGAGAGCTTACCTCCTGGTCAGTTTGCCCTGTACCCGGATTCCCCACAGTCACTGCTCTAACCATCACTGTTCTGTCGTCTGCTGTTCTCCCTCTTGTCAGCTAGTCTGGCCCCACTCAGGACACACTCTTCATTTCTCCAAAGCCCAACAATACAATATTACTATGTATTACTGACAGTTGGAGGAGTACTGGTGAAGGAGGAGGTGGTAGTAGGAGCACACAGCAGCAGACAAGTTTGGGATGGCGTTGTTCCTACAAATCCCTGGTTATGCCTCTCACTAAGTCAGGCTCTCGGCATGTGACCAGGTGCCTCTCTCTCCCAGCCCCGTTCTCTCCTTTTCATGTCACTCACCCTCTTCCCAGAGCTGTAAACTCAGCATTCTTCACTTTGTTCTATACAGAAACATTACCCCTGCCCGCTTTGAGAACATCTCTGCAGGTTTCCTTTTCACACCCAGAGAGTCCTGTCAGGGCACTGCCTTAAGCAGAGTATTATCCCCAGTACAATATTTGCTACTCCTATAGATTGTAAAATCAGCTGCAGTCGTTTGTATTTTAGGGCACAATTTGTTTTCAGGCAAGGAGTTCTATTTATTCTTTTTTTTGAATAGTTTATACGTGCACATGGCACAGCTTCAAATTGTGAAGAGAAAGTCTCCTTTGAACTTATGTCCTTTAGCCTCCCAGTTCTCCTCTGCACTACTCTTTTTGTAATCTCCCAGAGATATTCTGTGCATATGCCAACATATGCATTTCTTCTTGTGTGGCCTCATTTGTATTACTCTTGCCAAGATGTTAGTTAAAAGGAGGTACCAGGCTTCAATTAACCACTCACATTAGGAACATCCTTCTCTATCATCTTACCATTAATTCATAGCCATATGCCATCATCATTATTAATCTCACTTATGAAGTGACGGTTCTGCTGATTCTCCCTATAGCCCCCTGCATGTGCTGGAGGGAAGGGTGGTTATGGATGTATAAGTTGTGAACTTTTAAGTCACTGTATATTTTTTCCTTTGCATTACACGTCAGCCTTCTTCTCTGCATTAACTATCAGGAGTCCTCTCCTCCTTTGGGTTGTCCAGTATTAAACTGGTTACGCCTCCATGTAGAAGGTCATGGAAATTCAGGCTGTGCTGTATCTATGACTCTGTCTTGGGGAATGGAAGTTCCTGGGACTTTGTGTGCCCTGTCAGGTTGGAAGTTGGAAAGGGAAGCAAGAGAATAGGTCTGGATACAATTTCTGGCTCCTTTAAAAGACTCAAAACATTCATCTCTTCCACCTTTCCTCCCAGATCTCATTCTTTCTGGACATGATTCCTGGGAGAGCAGGGTCCTGCCATCTGCCCCAGAATGGGGATAGAAGGTTCAGGGAGCTAACCAGCTGACAGGAGTAGTGTTGCCCTTTGAACTTGAATGCATTAATGATCACGAGTCCATTGTGTACACGTGCATGAAATTGTACTTTAGATTTTATTTTTTGAGTACTTTTTTCTTGTAGCAAGAACAACAATGATCAATGTAGAAATCTTGGAAAACTCAGTAAGGTGTGAAAAAAAAACCTCTCTCAAACCACTGATAATCTCACAAGTTAAGCTGGAGGAAATCCCCATTGTTACCACTTGTCTGTATTAATGTCAAATATCTTAAAAATGATGCTCTTGCTTACACTCTGTTGGGAGTATTTTTCCATCTCAATAAATTCTCCATTATAAGTTTTAATGTTCTCTTATTTTTTCAGTGTTGGGTACTTAGATTATTATTATTTTTTTACTGTTATAAATATCTCATAAGTATCCGTGTAATACCGATTGATGAATATGTCTCTGCTTAGTTGCTTGGGACATTTTCCTGGAGACAGAATTGTCAGAGGGCTTCACTACAGATGCCAGATTGTCCTTAAGAGAGGTCATAACAATTTCCGCTACTGAGAATATTTGAATATCCATTATTCCAACTTCTTCCTGGAGCTTGTTTTTGAGGTTTTCACATTTTACTTTTACTTTGCCGATCAATAAGGAGATCCTCAGTTTTAGCCGGTGCTGGTTCCTTGATCAGCTCTGGCAGAGAGAGAGCTTGTTAATGCGTTGTTCCAGCTTCAGTTTTCCTTCTCCCCTGACGGAGAAAGGGCAGGGTTCTCCCTGAGTGGTTTGCCTGGGCTGCCTGATGCGCTTGTTGAACACAGAGGGCAGAGCAGGGCTCCCAAGGAAAATAGTGATAAACATGCCTGTGTCAATCTGGCAATAAAACGGAGAGGGCTTAATTGATCTATGGCAGCAGGAAGCTTACATTGGCAAATTTAAATTATTTGCAGTCACATCTTATTTAGCATCACTCCGATAAATACACCGAATGGGGGAATTGCTTAGAAGAAAACTTCTTAGGTGGGAGCTTACTTGCATGTAGCTTCCCTGGCTCTGGCCAGTATGGAAATGGAGGATTGGGGAGTTTGGGCACCTCCAGGGAAGAGATGGTGGCTTTGTCGTCTTCCCCAGGCAGTGAGACAGACAGGGGGTGCATCATCCAAGCTTCTAGGATATGCGCAGCAACATTTCCATGTCTGTTATGAGCTGCTATGTAACACTTGGCCTGC